GCAGTATGATCATTTGAAAGAAGAACTGTTTGTTTTAAAGGGATGCAGGCATAATCATTTGAAAAAGAAGAACTGTTTGTTTTAAAGGGGATGCAGTATGATCATTTGAAAGAAGAACTGTTTGTTTTAAAGGGGATGCAGTATGATCATTTGAAAGAAGAACTGTTTGTTTTTTTGCAATGATTATTTGGATGAACTTTTTGCTTTAAAAATCATTTGAAAGAAGAAAAAGAACAGTTTTTTTAAAGGGATGCAGTATGATCATTTGAAAGAAGAACTTTTTTTTTTAAAAGGGGATGCAGTATGATCATTTGAAAGAAGAACTGTTTGTTTTAAAAGGGATGCAGTATGATCATTTGAAAAGAACTGTTTGTTTTAAAGGGGATGCAGTATGATCATTTGAAAAAGAAGAACTGTTTGTTTTAAAGGGGATGCAGTATGATCATTTGAAAGAAGAACTTTGTTTTTAAAGGGGATGCAGTATGATCATTTGAAAGAAAAAACTGTTTGTTTGACTAAAGAAGAAGGGATTGTTTTAAAGGGGATGCAACATCATTTGAAAGAAGAACTGTTTGTTTTAAAGGGATGCAGTATGATCATTTGAAAGAAGAACTGTTTGTTTTAAAGGGGATGCAGTTGACCATTTGAAAGAAGAACTGTTTGTTTTTAAAGATGCAAAATGATCATTTGAAAAGAAGAACTGTTGTTTTTTAAAGGGGATGCAAATGATCATTTGAAAAAGAACTGTTTGTTTTTAAAGAAGAATGATTGTTTGAAAGGGATGCAGTTTGTTTTGAAGGAAAAAGAATGATTGTTTTAAAGGGGATGCAGTATGATTATTTGAAAGAAGAACTGCAGGGATGCAGTATGATCATTTGAAAGAAGAACTGTTTGTTTTAAAGGGGATGAAGTATGATCATTTGAAAGAAGAACTGTTTGTTTTAAAGGGATGCAGTATGATCATTTGAAAGAAGAACTGTTTGTTTTAAAAGGGATGCAGTATGATCATTTGAAAAGAAGAACTGATTGTTTTAAAGAAGGATGCAGTATGATCATTTTTGAAAGAAGAACTGTTTGTTTTAAAGGGATGCAACATGACCATTTGAAAGAAGAACTGTTTGTTTTAAAGGGATGCAGTATGATCATTTGAAAAGAAGAACTTTTGTTTTAAAGGGGATGCAGTATGATCATTTGAAAAAGAAGAACTGTTTGTTTTAAAGGGGATGCAGCATGATCATTTGAAAGAAGAAACTGTTTGTTTTAAAGGGGATGCAGTATGATCATTTGAAAGAAGAACTGTTTGTTTTAAAAAGGGATGCAGTATGATCATTTGAAAGAAGAACTGTTTGTTTTAAAGGGGATGCAGTATGATCATTTGAAAGAAGAACTGTTTGTTTTTAAAGGGATGCAGTATGATCATTTGAAAGAAGAACTGTTTGTTTTAAAGGGATGCAGTATGATCATTTGAAAGAAAACTGAACTGGATGCTTGACTTTTAAAAAGACCTGGGATGCAGTATGATCATTTGAAAGAAGAACTGTTTGTTTTAAAGGGATGCAGTATGATCATTTGAAAGAAGAACTGATTGTTTTAAAGAGGATGCAGTATGATCATTTGAAAGAAGAACTGTTTGTTTAAAGGGATGCAGTATGACATTTGAAAAAAGAACTGTTTGTTTTAAAGAGGATGCAAATCATTTGAAAGAAGAACTGTTTGTTTTAAAAGGGATGCAGTATGATTATTTGAAAAGAAGAACAGAAAAGGGATGCAGTATGACCATTTGAAAGAAAACCTGGGGATGCAGTATGATCATTTGAAAGAAGAACTTTTTTTTTAAAGGATGCAGTATGATCATTTGAAAGAAGAACTGTTTGTTTTAAAGGGGATGCAGCATGATCATTTGAAAGAAGAACTGTTTGTTTTAAAGGGGATGCAGTATGATTATTTGAAAGAAGAACTGTTTGTTTTAAAGGGATGCAGCATAATCATTTGAAAGAAGAACTGTTTGTTTTAAAGAAGAACTGGGGATGCAGCATAATCATTTGAAAGAAGAACTGATTGCTTTAAAGGGGATGCAGTATGATGAAAGAAGAACAGTTTTGAAATTTGAAGATCATTTGAAAGAAGAACTTTGTTTTAAAGGGGATGCAGTATGATCATTTGAAAAAGAAGAACTGGTGTTTTAAAGGGATGCAGTATGATCATTTGAAAGAAGAACTGTTTGTTTTAAAAAGGATGCAGCATGATCATTTGAAAGAAGAACTGTTTGTTTTAAAGAGGATGCAGTATGATCATTTGAAAGAAGAACTGTTTGTTTTTAAAAAGGATTTTTTTTGAAAGGGGATGCAGTAAAGATCATTTTTGAAAGAAGACCTGTTTGTTTTAAAACCACTGGGATGCAGCAGTATAATCATTTGAAAGAAGAACTGTTTGTTTTAAAGGGGATGCAGTATGATCATTTGAAAGAAGAAAGGTTTGCAGTATTTTTGAAAGAAGGGATGCAAAGTATGATCATTTGAAAGAAGAACTGTTTGTTTTAAAGGGGATGCAGCATGATCATTTGAAAAAGAAGAACTGTTTGTTTTAAAAAGGATGCAGTATGATCATTTGAAAGAAGAACTTTTGTTTTAAAGGGGATGCAGTATGATTATTTGAAAGAAAGAACTGTTTGTTTAAAAGGGATGCAGTATGATCATTTGAAAGAAGAACTGTTTGTTTTAAAGGGGATGCAGTATGATCATTTGAAAGAAGAACTGTTTGTTTTAAAGGGGATGCAGTATGATCATTTGAAAGAAGAACTGTTTTGTTTTAAAGGGGATGCAGTATGATCATTTGAAAGAAGAACTGTTTGTTTAAAGAGGATGCAGCATGATCATTTGAAAGAAGAACTGTTTGTTTTAAAAAGAACTGGGGATGCAGCATAATCATTTGAAAGAAGAACCGTTTGTTTTAAAGGGGATGCAGTATGATTATTTGAAAGAAGAACTTAAAGGATACAGTTGATTTTAAAGAAGAACTTTCTGCAGGGGATTGATCATTTGAAAGAAGAACTGTTGTTTTAAAGGGATGCAGTATGATCATTTGAAAAGAAGAAGAACTATTTTTTTAAAGGGGATGCAGTATGATCATTTGAAAGAAGAACTGTTTGTTTTAAAGGGATGCAGTATGATCATTTGAAAGAAGAACTGTTTGTTTTAAAGGGGATGCAGCATAATCATTTGAAAGAAGAACTGTTTGTTTTAAAGGGATGCAGTATGATCATTTGAAAGAAGAACTGATTTGTTTTAAAGGGGATGCAGTATGATCATTTGAAAGAAGAACTGTTTGTTTTAAAGGGGATGCAGTATGATCATTTGAAAAGAAAAAATGTTTGTTTTAAAGAAGGATGATGCATGATCATTTGAAAGAAGAACTGTTTGTTTTAAAGAGGATGCAGTATGATCATTTGAAAGAAGAACTGATTGTTTTAAAAGGGATGCAGTATGATCATTTGAAAGAAAAACTGTTTGTTTAAAGGGGATGCAGTATGATCATTTGAAAGAAGAACTGTTTGTTTTTAAAGGGGATGCAGTATGATCATTTGAAAGAAGAAAACTGTTTGTTTTAAAGGGGATGCAGTATGATCATTTGAAAGAAGAACTGTTTGTTTTAAAGGGGATGCAGTATGATCATTTGAAAGAAGAACTGTTTGTTTTAAAGGGGATGCAGTATGATCATTTGAAAGAAGAAAGAGGATGCAATTGTTTTAAAGGGGATGCAATATGATCATTTGAAAGAAGAACTGTTTGTTTTAAAGGGATGCAGTATGATCATTTGAAAGAAGAACTGTTTGTTTTAAAGGGGATGCAGCATGATTATTTGAAAGAAGAACTGTTTTTTTTAGGGGGATGCAGTATGATCATTTGAAAAAGAAGAACTGTTTGTTTTAAAGGGATGCAGTATGATCATTTGAAAGAAGAACTGTTTGTTTTAAAGGGGATGCAGCAGTATGATCATTTGAAAGAAGAACTGTTTGTTTTAAAGGGATGCAGTATGATCATTTGAAAGAAGAACTTTTTTTTAAAAGTATGATTTGCAGCATGATCATTTGAAAGAAGAATTGTTTGTTTTAAAAAGGATGCAGTATGATCATTTGAAAGAAGAACTGTTTGTTTTAAAGAGGATGCAGTATGATCATTTGAAAGAAGAACTGTTTTTTAGGGATGCAGTATTTTGTTTTTAAAGGGATGCAGTATGATCATTTGAAAGAAGAACTGTTTGTTTTAAAGGGGATGCAGTATGATCATTTGAAAGAAGAACTGTTTGTTTAAAGGGGATGCAGTATGATCATTTGAAAGAAGAACTGTTTGTTTTAAAGGGATGCAGTATGATCATTTGAAAGAAGAACTGTTTGTTTTAAAGGGGATGCAGTATGATCATTTGAAAGAAGAACTGTTTGTTTTAAAGGGATGCAGCATAATCATTTGAAAGAAGAACTGTTTGTTTTAAAGGGGATGCAGTATAATCATTTGAAAGAAGAACTGTTTGTTTTAAAGGGATGCAGTATGATCATTTGAAAGAAGAAGAACTGTTTGTTTTAAAGGGGGATGCAGTATGATCATTTGAAAAACTGAAGAACTGTTTGTTTTAAAGAGGATGCAGTATGATCATTTGAAAGAAGAACTGTTTGCTTTAAAGGGGATGCAGTATGATCATTTGAAAGAAGAACTGTTTGTTTTAAAGGGATGCAGTATGATCATTTGAAAGAAGAACTGTTTGTTTTAAAGGGATGCAGCATAATCATTTGAAAAGAAGAACTTTGTTTTAAAGGGGATGCAGTATGATCATTTGAAAGAAGAACTGAAGAACTTGCTTTTAAAGGGGATGCAGTATGATCATTTGAAAGAAGAACTTTTGTTTTAAAGGGATGCAATATGATCATTTGAAAGAAGAACTGTTTGTTTTAAAGAACTGTTTGTTTTAAGATGCAGTATGATCATTTGAAAGAAGAACTGTTTGTTTTAAAGGGATGCAGTATGATCATTTGAAAAGAAGAACAGTATGATTTTTGAAAGGGGATGCAGTATGATCATTTGAAAGAAGAAGAACTGGATGTTTTTTGAAAGGGGGGATGCAGTATGATCATTTGAAAGAAGAACTGTTTGTTTTAAAGGGGATGCAGTATGATCATTTGAAAGAAGAACTGTTTGTTTTAAAGGGGATGCAGAAGAACTGATCATTTGAAAGAAAGAACTGTTTTTTAAAGGGGATGCAGTATGATCATTTGAAAGAAGAACTGTTTGTTTTAAAGAGGATGCAGTATGATCATTTGAAAGAAGAACTTTTTTAAAGGGATGCAAAGGGAACTGATGCAAATATGATCATTTGAAAGAAGAACTGTTTGTTTTAAAGGGGATGCAGTATGATCATTTGAAAGAAGAACTGTTTTTTTAAGGGGATGCAGCATAACCATTTTAAAACTGGGGATGCAGTATGATCATTTGAAAGAAGACCTGTTTGTTTTAAAGAGGATGCAGTATGATCATTTGAAAGAAGAACTGTTTGTTTTAAAGGGGTGCAGTATGATCATTTGAAAGAAGAACTGTTTGTTTTAAAGGGGATGCAGTATGATCATTTGAAAGAAGAACTGTTTGTTTTAAAGGGATGCAGTATGATCATTTGAAAGAAGAACTGTTTGTTTTAAAGAGGATGCAGTATGATCATTTGAAAGAAGAACTGTTTGTTTTAAAGGGGTGCAGTATGATCATTTGAAAGAAGAACTGTTTGTTTTAAAGGGGATGCAGTATGATCATTTGAAAGAAGAACTGTTTGTTTTAAAGGGGATGCAGTATGATCATTTGAAAGAAGAACTGTTTGTTTTAAAGAGGATGCAGTATGATCATTTGAAAGAAGAACTGTTTGTTTTAAAGAGGATGCAGTTGTTTTAAAGGGGATGCAGTATGATCATTTGAAAGAAGAACTGTTTGTTTTAAAGGGGATGCAGTATGATCATTTGAAAGAAGAACTGTTTGTTTAAAGGGGATGCAGTATGATCATTTGAAAGAAGAAGAACTGTTTGTTTTAAAGGGATGCAGTATGATCATTTGAAAGAAGAACTGTTTGTTTTAAAGGGATGCAGTATGATCATTTGAAAGAAGAACTGTTTGTTTTAAAGGGGATGCAGTATGATCATTTGAAAGAAGAACTGTTTGTTTTTTAAAGGGGATGCAGCATGATCATTTGAAAGAAGAACTGTTTGTTTTAAAGGGATGATGCAGTATGATCATTTGAAAGAAGAACTGTTTTTTTAAAAGGGGATGCAGTATGATCATTTGAAAGAAGAACTGTTTGTTTTAAAAGGGAGGATGCAGCATAATCATTTGAAAGAAGAACTTTGTTTTAAAGGGGATGCAGTATGATCATTTGAAAGAAGAACTGTTTGTTTTAAAGGGGATGCAGCATAATCATTTGAAAGAAGAACTGATTGTTTTAAAGGGGATGCAGTATGATCATTTGAAAGAAGAACATTGTTTGTTTTAAAGGGATGCAGTTGATTATTTGAAAGAAGATGTTTGTTTTAAAGGGGATGCAGTACTCATTTGAAAGAAGAACTGTTTGTTTTAAAAGGATGCAGTATGATCATTTGAAAAGAAGAACTGTTTGTTTTAAAGGGATGCAGTATAATCATTTGAAAGAAGAACTGTTTGTTTTAAAGGGATGCAGTATGATTATTTGAAAAAAGAACTGTTTTTTTAAAGGGATGCAGTATGATCATTTGAAAGAAGAACTGACTGTTTTAAAGGGGATGCAGTATGATCCATTTGAAAGAAGAACTGTTTGTTTTTGAAAGAAGGATGCAAGTATGATCATTTGAAAGAGAAGAACTGTTTTATTTAAAGGATGCAGTATGATCATTTGAAAGAAGAACTGTTTTTTTAAAGGGGATGCAAAGTATGATCATTTGAAAGAAGAACTGTTTGTTTAAAGGTGATTAAAGTTTTAAAGGGATGCAACATGATCATTTGAAAGAAGAACTGTTTGTTTTAAAGGGGATGCAGTATGATCATTTGAAAAAGAAGAACTGTTTGTTTTAAAAAGGATGCAGTATGATCATTTGAAAGAAGAACTGTTTGTTTTAAAGGGGATGCAGTATGATCATTTGAAAGAAGAACTGTTTGTTTTAAAGGGGATGCAGTATGATCATTTGAAAGAAGAACTGTTTGTTTTAAAGGGATGCAGTATGATCATTTGAAAGAAGAACTGTTTGTTTTAAAGGGGATGCAATATGATCATTTGAAAGAAGAACTGTTTGTTTTAAAGGGGATGCAGTATGATCATTTGAAAAAGAAGAACTGTTTGTTTTAAAGGGGATGCAATATAATCATTTGAAAGAAGAACTGTTTGTTTTAAAGGGGATGCAGTATGATCATTTGAAAGAAGAACTGTTTGTTTTAAAGGGATGCAGCATGATCATTTGAAAGAAGAACTGTTTGTTTTAAAGGGGATGCAGTAATCATTTGAAAAAAAGAACTGTTTGTTTTAAAGGGGATGCAGTATAATCATTTGAAAGAAGAACTGTTTTTGTTTTAAAGGGGATGCAGTATGATCATTTGAAAGAAGAACTGTTTGTTTTAAAGGGATGCAGTATGATCATTTGAAAAGAAGAACTGTTTGTTTTAAAGGGATGCAATATAATCATTTGAAAGAAGAACTGTTTGTTTTAAAGGGGATGCAGTATGATCATTTGAAAGAAGAACTGTTTGTTTTAAAGGGATGCAGTATGATCATTTGAAAGAAGAACTGTTTGTTTTAAAGGGATGCAGTATGATCATTTGAAAGAAGAACTGTTTGTTTTAAAGGGGATGCAATATGATCATTTGAAAGAAGAACTGTTTTTTAAAAGGATGCAGTATAATCATTTGAAAGAAGAACTGTTTGTTTTAAAGGGGATGCAGTATGATCATTTGAAAGAAGAACTGTTTGTTTTAAAGGGGATGCAGTATGATCATTTGAAAGAAGAACTGTTTGTTTTAAAGGGATGCAGTATGATCATTTGAAAGAAGAACTGTTTGTTTTAAAGGGGATGCAGTATGATCATTTGAAAGAAGAACTGATTGTTTTAAAGGGGATGCAGTATGATCATTTGAAAGAAGAACTGATTGTTTAAAAGGGATGCAGTATGATCATTTGAAAGAAGAACTGTTTGAAAAGGGATGCAGTATGATCATTTGAAAGAAGAACTGTTTGTTTTAAAGGGATGCAGTATGATCATTTGAAAGAAGAACTGTTTGTTTAAAAAGGATGCAGTATGATCATTTGAAAGAAGAACTGTTTGTTTTAAAGGGGATGCAGTATGATCATTTGAAAGAAGAACTGTTTGTTTAAAGGGGATGCAGTATAATCATTTGAAAGAAGAACTGTTTGTTTAAAGGGGATGCAGCATAATCATTTGAAAGAAGAACTGTTTTTTTAAAGGGATGCAGTATGATTATTTGAAAGAAGAACTTTTGATTTTAAAGGGATGCAGTATGATCATTTGAAAGAAAAAAGAACTGTTTGTTTTAAAGGGATGCAGTATGATCATTTGAAAGAAGAACTGTTTGTTTTAAAGGGATGCAGTATGCAGCAGTATGATCATTTGAAAGAAGAACTGTTTTTTTAAAGGGGATGCAGTATGATCATTTGAAAAAGAACTGTTTGTTTTAAAGGGATGCAGTATGATCATTTGAAAGAAGAACTGTTTGTTTTAAAGGGGATGCAGTATGATCATTTGAAAGAAGAACTGTTTGTTTTAAAGGGATGCATATGATCATTTGAAAAGAAGAACTGCATTTGTTTTAAAGGGATGCAGTATGATCATTTTTGAAAAGAAGAACTTTTGTTTTAAAGGGGATGCAGTATGATCATTTGAAAGAAAGAACTATTTGTTTTAAAGGGATGCAGTATAATCATTTGAAAGAAGAACTGTTTGTTTTAAAGGGATGCAGTATGATCATTTGAAAGAGAACTTTTTTGTTTAAAGGGATGCAATGATCATTTGAAAGAAGAACTTTTTAAAGGGATGCAGTATGATCATTTGAAAGAAGAACTGTTTGTTTTAAGGGGATGCAGTGAATCATTTGAAAGAAGAACTGTTTGTTTTAAAGGGATGCAGTATGATTATTTGAAAGAAGAACTGTTTTTTTAAAGGGGATGCAAGTATGATCATTTGAAAGAAGAACTGTTTGTTTTAAAGGGATGCAGTATGATCATTTGAAAGAAGAACTGTTTGTTTTAAAGGGATGCAGTATGATCATTTGAAAGAAGAACTGTTTGTTTTAAAGGGATGCAGTATAATCATTTGAAAGAAGAACTGTTTGTTTTAAAGGGATGCAGTATGATCATTTGAAAGAAGAACTGTTTGTTTTAAAGGGATGCAACATGATCATTTGAAAGAAGAACTGTTTGTTTTAAAGGGATGCAGTATGATTATTTGAAAGAAGAACTGTTTGTTTTAAAGGGATGCAGTATGATCATTTGAAAGAAAGAAAAACTTTTTTTTAAAGGGATGCAGTATGATCATTTGAAAGAAGAACTGATTGTTTAAAGGGATGCAGTATGATCATTTGAAAGAAGAACTGTTTGTTTTAAAGGGATGCAGTATAATCATTTGAAAGAAGAACTGTTTGTTTTTAAAGGGATGCAGTATGATCATTTGAAAAGAAGAACTGTTTGTTTTAAAAGGATGCAGTATGATCATTTGAAAGAAGAACTGTTTGTTTTAAAGGGGATGCAGTATAATCATTTGAAAAGAAGAACTGTTTGCTTTAAAGGGGATGCAGTAATCATTTGAAAAAAAGAACTGTTTGTTTTAAAGGGGATGCAGTATGATCATTTGAAAAGAAGAACTGTTTGTTTTAAAGGGATGCAGTATGATCATTTGAAAAGAAGAACTGTTTGCTTTAAAGGGATGCAGTATGATCATTTGAAAGAAGAACTGTTTGTTTTAAAGGGATGCAGTATGATCATTTGAAAGAAGAACTGTTTGTTTTAAAGGGGATGCAGTATGATCATTTGAAAGAAGAACTGTTTGCTTTAAAAAAAAGGATGCAGTATGATCATTTGAAAAAGAAGAACTTTTTGTTTTAAAGGGGATGCAGCATGATCATTTGAAAGAAGAACTGTTTGTTTTAAAGGGATGCAGTATGATCATTTGAAAGAAGAACTGAACTTTTTTTTAAAGGGATGCAGTATGATCATTTGAAAAAAAGAACTGTTTGTTTTAAAAGGGATGCAGTATGATCATTTGAAAAGAAGAACTGTTTGTTTTAAAGGGATGCAGTATGATCATTTGAAAGAAGAACTGTTTGTTTTAAAGGGGATGCAGTATGATCATTTGAAAGAAGAACTGTTTGTTTTAAAGGGGATGCAGTATGATCATTTGAAAGAAGAACTGTTTGTTTTAAAGGGGATGCAGTATGATCATTTGAAAGAAGAACTGTTTGTTTTAAAGGGATGCAGTATGATCATTTGAAAAGAAGAACTTTTGTTTTAAAGGGGATGCAGTATGATCATTTGAAAAAAGAAGAACTGTTTGTTTTAAAGAGGATGATGCATTTGAAAGAAGAACTGTTTGTTTTAAAGGGATGCATCATTTGAAAAAGAACTGTTTTGTTTTAAAGGGATGCAGTATGATTATTTGAAAGAAGAACTTTTGTTTTAAAGGATGCAGTATGATCATTTGAAAGAAAGAACTGTTTGTTTTAAAGGGATGCAGTATGATCATTTGAAAAGAAGAACTGTTTGTTTTAAAGGGGATGCAGTATGATCATTTGAAAGAAAAACTGTTTGTTTTAAAGGGATGCAGTATAATCATTTGAAAGAAGAACTGTTTGTTTTAAAGGGGATGCAGTATGATCATTTGAAAGAAGAACTGTTTGTTTTAAAGGGATGCAAAAGTATGATCATTTGAAAAAAAGAACTGTTTGTTTTAAAGGGGATGCAGTATGATCATTTGAAAGAAGAACTGTTTGTTTTAAAGGGGATGCAGTATGATTTTGAAAGAAGAACTGGGGATGCAGTATGATCATTTGAAAGAAGAACTTTTGTTTTAAAGGGGATGCAACTGTTTTTTTAAAGGGATACAGTTTGTTTTAAAAGGATGATTTGAAATCATTTGAAAGAAAAAGAACTTTTTTTTTAAAGGGGATGCAGTATGATCATTTGAAAAAGAACTGTTTGTTTTAAAGGGATGCAGTATGATCATTTGAAAGAAGAACTGTTTGTTTTAAAGGGATGCAGTATGATCATTTGAAAAAAAAGAACTGTTTGTTTAAAGGGGATGCAGTATGATCATTTGAAAGAAGAACTGTTTGTTTTAAAGGGATGCAGTATGATCATTTGAAAAAGAACTGTTTGTTTTAAAGAGGATGCAAATATGATCATTTGAAAGAAAGAACTGTTTGTTTTTAAAGGGGATGCAGTATGATCATTTGAAAGAAAACTGAACTGTTTGTTTTAAAAAAGGGATGCAGTATGATCATTTGAAAGAAGAACTATTTGTTTTAAAGGGGATGCAGTATGATCATTTGAAAAGAAGAACTGTTTGTTTTAAAGGGGATGCAGTATGATCATTTGAAAGAAAAAACTGTTTGTTTTAAAAGGATGCAGTATGATCATTTGAAAGAAGAACTGTTTGTTTTAAAGGGATGCAGTATGATCATTTGAAAGAAGAACTGTTTGTTTTAAAGGGATGCAGTATGATCATTTGAAAGAAGAACTGTTTGTTTTAAAGGGATGCAGTATGATCATTTGAAAGAAAGAACTGTTTGTTTTAAAGAGGATGCATTTGAAAGATAATCATTTGAAAGAAAAAACTATTTGAAAGAAAAATTGGGATGCAGTATGATTATTTGAAAGAAGAACTGTTTGTTTTAAAGGGATGCAATATATGATCATTTGAAAGAAGAACTGTTTTTTTAAAAGGGATGCAGTATGATCATTTGAAAGAAGAACTGTTTGTTTTAAAGAATGCAGGATGCAGTATGATCATTTGAAAGAAAGAACTGTTTGTTTTAAAGGGGATGCAGTATGATCATTTGAAAAGAAGAAAGAAACCTTTGTTTTAAAGGGATTTGAAAGAAGAATGATCATTTGAAAGAAAGAAAAGAAGAACTTTGTTTTAAAGGGATGCAGTATGATCATTTGAAAGAAAGAACTGTTTGTTTTTTAAAAGGATGCAGTATGATCATTTGAAAGAAGAACTGTTTGTTTTAAAAGGGGATGCAGTATGATCATTTGAAAGAAGAACTGTTTGTTTTAAAGGGATGCAGTATGATCATTTGAAAGAAGAACTGTTTGTTTTAAAGGGATGCAGTATGATCATTTGAAAAGAAAGAAAGAACTGTTTGTTTTAAAGGGGATGCAGTATGATCATTTGAAAGAAGAACTGTTTGTTTTAAAGGGGATGCAGTATGATCATTTGAAAGAAAGAAGAACTGTTTGTTTTGAAAGGGATGCAAGAAGATGATCATTTGAAAGAAAGAAGAACTGTTTGTTTTAAAGGGATGCAATATGATCATTTGAAAGAAGAACTGTTTGTTTTAAAGGGGATGCAAGTATGATCATTTGAAAGAAGAACTGTTTGTTTTAAAGGGGATGCAGTATAATCATTTGAAAGAAAGAATTTGAAAGAAGAACTGTTTTTTAAAGGGATGCAAAGTATGATTTGTTTGAAAATGAAGAACTCATTTGTTTTTTAAAGGGATGCAGTATGATCATTTGAAAGAAGAACTGTTTGTTTTAAAGGGGATGCAGTATGATCATTTGAAAGAAGAACTGAAAGAAGAACTTGTTTTAAAGGGGATGCAGTATGATTGTTGAAAGAAGAACTGTTTGTTTTAAAGGGATGCAGTATGATCATTTGAAAGAAAGAACTGTTTGTTTTAAAGGGGATGCAATGATTATTTGAAAGAAGAAAGAAAAAGAAAGGGGATGCAGTATGATCATTTGAAAGAAGAAAAAAAAAGAAAGAGGATGCAGCATAATCATTTGAAAAGAAGAACTGTTTGCTTTAAAGGGGATGCAGTATGATCATTTGAAAAAAGAACTGTTTGTTTTAAAGGGATGCAGTATAATCATTTGAAAGAAGAACTTTTGCATGATGAAAAAGAACTAATTTTAAAAGAAAAGAAATCATTTGAAAGTTTTTGTTTTAAAGGGATGCAGTATGATCATTTGAAAAAGAAGAACTGTTTGTTTTAAAGGGGATGCAGTATGATCATTTGAAAAAGAACTGTTTGTTTTAAAGGGATGCAGTATGATCATTTGAAAGAAGAACTGTTTGTTTTAAAGGGGATGCAGTATGATCATTTGAAAGAAGAACTGTTTGTTTTAAAGGGGATGCAGTATGATCATTTGAAAGAAGAACTGTTTGTTTTAAAGGGGATGCAGTATGATCATTTGAAAGAAGAACTGTTTGTTTTAAAGGGGATGCAGTATGATCATTTGAAAGAAGAACTGTTTGTTTTAAAAAGGATGCAGTATGAAAATTTGAAAGAAAACTGACTGCTTTTAAAGGGATGAAGTATGATCATTTGAAAAAAAGAACTGTTTTTTAAAGGGGATGCAGTATGATCATTTGAAAGAAGAACTGTTTGTTTTAAAGGGATGCAGTATGATCATTTGAAAGAAGAACTGTTTGTTTTAAAGGGGATGCAGTATGATTTTTGAAAGAAGAACTGTTTGCTTTAAAGGGATGCAGTATGATCATTTGAAAGAAGAACTGTTTGTTTTAAAGGGGATGCAGTATGATCATTTGAAAGAAGAACTGTTTGTTTTAAAGGGATGCAGTTCATTTGAAAGAAGAACTTTATTGCTTTAAAGGGATGCAGTATGATCATTTGAAAGAAGAACTGTTTGTTTTAAAGGGATGCAGTATAATCATTTGAAAGAAGAACTGTTTGTTTTAAAGGGATGCAGTATGATCATTTGAAAAGAAGAACTGTTTGTTTTAAAAAGGGATGCAGTATGATCATTTGAAAAAGAACTGTTTGTTTTAAAGGGGATGCAGTATAATTATTTGAAAGAAGAACTGATTGTTTTAAAGGGGATGCAAGTATGATCATTTGAAAGAAGAACTAGAATGTTTTAAAGGGGATGCAAGTATGATCATTTGAAAGAAGAACTGTTTGTTTTAAAGGGATGCAGAATGATCATTTGAAAAGAAGAAAGAACTGATTGTTTAAAGGGATGCAGTATGATCATTTGAAAAGAAAACTGTTTGTTTTAAAGGGGATGCAATATGATCATTTGAAAGAAGAACTGTTTGTTTTAAAGGGATGCAAAATGATCATTTTAAAGAAAGAACTGTTTGTTTTAAAGGGGATGCAGTATGATTATTTGAAAAAGAAAGAACTGATTGTTTTAAAGGATGCAGTATGATCATTTGAAAGAAGAACTGATTGTTTTAAAGGGGATGCAGTATGATTATTTGAAAGAAGAACTGTTTGTTTTAAAGGGGATGCAGTATGATCATTTGAAAGAAGAACTGTTTGTTTTAAAGGGGATGCAGTATGATCATTTGAAAGAAGAACTTTCTTTTGAAGGGGATGCAGTATGATCATTTGAAAGAAGAACTAGTTGTTTTAAAGAGGATGCAGTATGATCATTTGAAAGAAAGAACTGTTTGTTTTAAAGGGGATGCATTTGTAAGAAAGAAAGAAAAAAGAACTGAATGTTTAAAGGGATGCAGTATGATCATTTGAAAGAAAGAACTTTTGCTTTAAAGGGGATGCAGTATGATCATTTGAAAGAAGAACTGTTTGTTTTAAAGGGGGATGCAATATGATCATTTGAAAGAAGAACTGTTTGTTTTAAAAGGATGCAGTATGATCATTTGAAAGAAGAACTGTTTGTTTTAAAGGGGATGCAGTATAATCATTTGAAAGAAGAAGAAAAGATTGTTTTAAAGGGGATGCAGTATGATCATTTGAAAGAAAGAACTGATTGTTTTAAAGGGATGCAGTATGATCATTTGAAAAGAAGAACTGTTTGTTTTAAAGGGATGCAGTATGATCATTTGAAAGAAGAACTGATTGCTTTAAAGGGGATGCAGTATTATCATTTGAAAGAAGAACTGTTTGTTTTAAAGGGGATGCAGTATGATCATTTGAAAGAAGAACTGTTTGTTTTAAAGGGGATGCAGTATGATTATTTGAAAGAAGAACTTTCTTTTGAAGGGGATGCAGTATGATCATTTGAAAGAAGAACTGTTTGTTTTTAAAGGGATGCAGCATCATTTGAAAGAAGAACTGTTTGTTTTAAAGGGGATGCAGTATGATCATTTGAAAGAAGAACTGTTTGTTTTAAAGGGGATGCAAAGTATGATCATTTGAAAAAGAAGAACTGTTTGTTTTAAAGGGGATGCAGTATGATCATTTGAAAGAAGAAACTGTTTGTTTTTAAAAGGATGCAGTATGATCATTTGAAAAAAAGAACTGTTTGTTTTTAAAGGGATGCAGTATGATCATTTGAAAGAAGAACTGTTTGTTTTAAAGGGATGCAGTATGATCATTTGAAAGAAGAACTGTTTGTTTTAAAGGGGATGCAGTATGATCATTTGAAAGAAGAACTGTTTGTTTTAAAGGGATGCAGTATGATCATTTGAAGAAGAACTGTTTGTTTTAAAGGGGATGCAGAGATGATCATTTGAAAGAAGAAAGAAAAAAAAAAAGGGGATGCAGTGATCATTTGAAAAAGAAATTGAAAAAATTGTTTTAAAAGAAAATGCAATATGATCATTTGAAAGAAGAACTGTTTGTTTTAAAGGGATGCAGTATGATCATTTGAAAGAAGAACTGTTTGTTTTAAAGGGATGCAGTATGATCATTTGAAAAAGAAATGTTTGTTTTAAAGGGATGCAAATGATCATTTGAAAGAAAAGAACTGTTTTTGTTTTAAAAGGGATGCAGTATGATCATTTGAAAGAAGAACTGTTTGTTTTAAAGGGATGCAGTATGATCATTTGAAAAAAGAATGATTATTTGAAAGAAGAGAAAGGGGATGCAGTATAATCATTTGAAAGAAGAACTGCTTGTTTTATCATTTGGAATGCAACTTTTTATTTTAAAAGGATGCAGTATGATCATTTGAAAGAAGAACTGTTTGTTTTAAAGGGGATGCAGCATAATCATTTGAAAGAAAGAACTGATTGCTTTAAAGGGATGCAGTAAAATTATTTGAAAGAAGAACTGTTTGTTTTAAAGGGGATGCAACATAATCATTTGAAAGAAGAACTGTTTGTTTTAAAAGGGATGCAGTATAATCATTTGAAAAGAAGAACTGTTTGTTTTAAAAGGGATGCAGTATGATCATTTGAAAGAAGAACTGTTTGTTTTAAAGAAGGGGATGCAGTATGATCATTTGAAAGAAGAACTGTTTGTTTTAAAGGGGATGCAACTGATCATTTGAAAGAAGAACTGTTTGTTTTAAAAGGGATGCAGTATGATCATTTGAAAAGAAAGAACTGTTTGTTTTAAAGGGGATGCAGTATAATCATTTGAAAAAAGAACTGTTTGTTTTAAAAGGGATGCAGTATGATCATTTGAAAAGAAAAGAACTGAAAGATTTAAAGGGGATGCAGTATGATCATTTGAAAGAAGAACTGTTTGTTTTAAAGGATACAGTATGATCATTTGAAAAGAAGAACATTTTAAAAGGATGCAGTATGATCATTTGAAAGAAAGAACTGAAGTTTTAAAAGGGGATGCAGTATGATCATTTGAAAAAGAAGAAAGTTTGTTTTAAAAAGATGCAACATTGTTTGTTTAATATCATTTGAAAAAGAAGAACTGTTTGTTTTTAAGGGGATGCAAGTATGATCATTTGAAAAAAAGAAAGTTTGTTTTAAAGGGATGCAGTATGATCATTTGAAAGAAAGAACTGTTTGTTTTAAAGGGGATGCAGTATGATCATTTGAAAAGAAGAACTGTTTGTTTTTAAAGGGATGCAGTATGATCATTTGAAAGAAAGAACTGTTTGTTTTAAAGGGGATGCAGTATGCAGTATGATCATTTGAAAGAAAAGACTGTTTGTTTTAAAGGGGATGCAGTATGATCATTTGAAAAAAGAAAGTTTTGTTTTAAAGGGGATGCAGCATGATCATTTGAAAGAAAGAACTGTTTGTTTTAAAGGGATGCAGTATG